CCTTTAATATTGTTCACACTGATGTATGGGGGCCTTATCAAATCCCTTCCATGGGAGGATTCCGTTACTTTCTTTTGTTTGTGGATGATTATACACGATATTCTTGGCTATATTTGATGAAATCACGTGATGAGGTTTCTAATTTGGTACGACAATTCCACCAAATGGTTCTCACACAATTTGGAGTGAGAACTAAGGTTTTTAGATCAGATAATGCCAGAGAGTATTTTGAGAAGGATCTAACCACGTATCTCTTAGCATGGTGTAATTCATCAGAGCAGTTGTGCATATACACCGCAACAGAATGGAGTTGCTGAGAGGAAAAATATACACATTGTGGAGGTGGCAAGGAGTCTTATGGTGCGTGCTTCAGTCCCTGTGCAGTTCTGGGGAGATGCAGTTCTTACAGTCGTACATGTGATTAACCGTGTTCCTTCACGGACTTTGGGGTTTAAGGTGCCATTTTGCCTACTTTTTTCAGATGGAGAGATATTTCATATACCTCGGAGGGTTTTTGGCTGTGTTTTTTTTGTTCACATTCTTGGCCCTCATCGCAAGAAATTTGATCCTAAGGCAAAGAAATGTGTTTTCCTTGGGTATGCTCAAAACCAAAAGGGGTATTGTTGTTATGATCCAGTGTCGAGGAGCAGATTTGTCACTATGGATGTTACCTTTTTTGAGTCCACATTCTTCTTCTCGAGTGGTTCTCCATAGGGGGAGCGTTTTGGGGTGGAGAACACACAATCTGTTCCTCTTCCTGTTCCTTTGGTGCCTTCATCAGTTCAGCCAGCACCTACACCATCAGTTCAGCCACCACCTGCACCATCAGTTCGGCCAGCACCTGCACCATCAGTTCAGCCAACACCTACACCATCAGTTCAACCAACACCTGCACCTCTAGTTTCATTACCTGAGCCGCTACGGGCAGCCTCACAGCAATATCAGCGCTGGCAGATGATGGTTGACTCCACACATCCTCGACCCACACCACTCTCTGTCAGTCCTTCTGAAACTCCAGATTCGGCAGATACAGTTCCAGGTATTCCCCATGAGCCTGTTATGCTTTCTGATGATAGTGTTTCTGTCCCTAA